AGTGGTGGGTGTCCTCTCTGTGGTTGGTGTGGGGAGGTCAGTCTCTATTTGCATCCTATGGCCTGTTTGCTTCTAAGCTTGATCTCTGTATCTCTGCTTGGAGTGTTTGGCCCAGCATTAAGAGAATGTGTCTGCTGTTAATGGAAATGGTGTTTCTGAGTGGCATGGAAGGAGTTTTCCAAACTCTGCTAGTATTTCAGTGCGTGATCTGGAGCAAAACAGGCTGCCTCTCTGCACCTCGATTGATTACTCTTGAATAAGGTGGACTCTTAATGCCTGTCCACAGGGGCGTTAAAAAATGTAAAAAGTATTTGTAAATTAAAATGCCTGAATGAAAGGCTCTGGTATGTGTAATCATAGAGTATCACATTAAGTAGGAAGGCAAATGTCAGGGGAGTTCCTGGCATTCCATGGAGCTGAGCTTGTCTCACTTAAATAGATTTAATAAGCTCTGCTAGAATTGAAGACAGGTTGCATTTAAGCATATTTATTTGAATTTACATAAGTATACATCAAAGAGAAAATAATGCAGGCTCTTGGTTACTTCAGTCTAGTTTTTGATAGTTACTACTTCATCCCTTCCAGCATACCATAAAGTTCCTTTCATGGTCTCAGAAGAGCATAAGGAATTGAGTAAAAGAAGCTGAGCTTGTTACTCTGTGTGACTGTCTAGGGGTTCAAGGTAGAGCTCTGTCTGTGTTTCATTGGTTTGGCAGTGTTCTGTCTGACTCTCCAGTACCCTTAGGAAGACAAATGACAATTCCTAACAGAACAGCGATACATGACTTGCCTTTCCCTTCAGGACTAAGCAGGGACCTAATGAAGGTAGAGGAAACTGCTGCTTAGGGAACAGGTGATCACTCAGTGGTCAGTGCAGGGCTAACCAACCCTCTTGCCCCTTGTAGCTAGCTACATTTTATGCTCTTGGTATGTGTGAGAGCAGATGATGTGCTATGTACTCAAGGAGCTGGGAGTTACTAATAAGCAGGAGATGATGTGGGCATCATCCCCAAGAGCAGGAGGCTCAGCCCAGCAGCCCTACTCTGCTTGCTGAGTGCTGCATAGACGAGACTTGCATGTTGGCATTTCCTTCAGAAAAGGATGGGTCTCTTTCTCTCACTGGGAAATGTCGAGACGCCAATAATTTAATCTTCCTGTGCCTCAGTTTCCCAGCTAATAAAATGGGGTTGCTCATCCCTCTACTTACACAAAGCTTTATCCCCCCTGACAACAAGTGTTATGGTCCAAGAACCAACCCTTAACACAGCCAGCTTGTACATCTTGGGTGACCTGGTCTCATCCAAGAAGAGCCCTTGGCAATCGCAGTCGGAACTTAAAGGCCAGTCTGTGGGCAGAAACAAGAGCGTGTTTTGTTCATACACAGCCAGCTCTGCCAGCTGTTTCCACACTTTAGCAAGTGTTTCCTATTCAAACAGAGAAAATGGTCGATGGGAACTGAACCAGATACAGCCATTCCAGCTAATAGCAAAGAGTTACACCCACAGAGAAGTTGAAAAAGATGTTAGATGTCTCCAATGCAGTATTTACCAAAATGCCAGATGTTGGGGATCCCTTAAGTCATCTAACAGGCCTTTTCAAGGCGATGTTACTCTTGAGTATGATGGCTCTCCTGAAAAAGCATTAAAGTGAACTAATTTTAGCCTTGAATTATGAGATTTTTCTCTAACAGAAGGTGTCCCTGAGGACACGAGGGTAGATTTTTATTTCCAAAACGTTGCCCTTGTATATTTTTAACGGATCATCTGGATGAAGTTCTAATGGCTGGTTCAGACTGTCTGATTAATAGCAACAGCTGTTCACCTTTGTAGATGGGGAGATTCTTGGAGATACAAAACACATTTATGAACTTAATATTCCACACCAAGGGTCAGGTTTTCTTGCCTTGTTTTTGCACAGGTGTAAATCCAGACAGGCTCCTGTGAAGTCAATGAAATTGTTCTGTGAAAGGTGCAAAAATCGGAGCTGCAGGAAATGGCAGAGCTGTTATTTCTTTCTTCAGTAGACTGAATTTTAGAACCCACAGCAATTGGAGGTGATTAAGGTTGAGAAATGTACCCAAGGAATGATATAGTGTTCCTGCTGAGTGATGGGGGAAAATGCTGATTTTTGCAGGATGTCTGGGGAGCCATTTCTTCCTATGGCTATAAAAGATGGCAATCAGCCCAAAATTAGGAAGTATAAAAATGAAAGAATAATGAGAGGAGATAACTTAGGTGTCCTATTGTAGCTCCTTAATATTTTTATTCCTATATTTCAAAAGGTAGGGTTCCTACTGCTGAAACTTCCTGCAAAAATTCCTTTCCTTTTCAGTGTTGAAGTCTGGAAAAATAATTGACCATTCTGGGTTTTTTTTAAAAAAAACTGCTTTCAGACAGTTGTATCGGTATATTTTTTTCATCTTCAGATCTTTTTATTATTTTATCTATATTTTGCCAAAAAAAGAGCTTCAGAATTCCCCGTGACATTTTCTTGTTTTCGTTGAGCAGATACTCCTGGGTTTTGCTTTAAAATTTATAACTCTTTTACAAAGAGAAAAGAAGTTAAGTTCCTCCAGATCCTACACAAATTCCAACCCAAGCTTATCTTTGGGGACTTGCTTATGCTTTCTTAACACAAAATGTTGCTGGAGCATTGGTATCCAAATGAACAATCAAGGCCATATAACTTTATTATTACCAAATCTGCTCTATTTCACACATTCACACTCTCTTCACTTCCAGCTACTCGATACATCTCTGTGTTTTCCATAAAATACTCTTAGAGCAGAGCTGTTGATATAGCTCTGATATAAAATGCTGCAATGATTAAGTGTCCTCCATACTCCACTAAATGGAATAAATAACATTATTAATTCAGTATGCAATTGTCTGGCTTACTACACTGAGCTTAATATTTAATACAATGTAATGGACCCGATTTCCAGCTACTGGATGCCTTCCCTTAACTTGCCTCTTCAATCATCAGTATTTGCTTAAAATATTGTGTCCACCTGAAGTGCAGAGGGAAAATTCCCCGGCAAAATTGAGGCAGAAATTAGACATGAACAACTGTTTTGGGTTCCTGGGGGAGGCTCACAGGCTCCAGACCATGTCAGGAGTACAGGTGTGGGCCATGCTGACGTCATGTCGTAACTGTGGTAACTCAGCCTTATTCCTGAGTGCATGTACAGTGTGGTTTCCCATTTGGATTATGGTGGCCATGTGGTCCTGGAAGAGAAACAAGGACACGAGGTGTCTGAGCTCCATGGACATTAGTGTAGGTCCCAAAGGATCTGCAAGAGGTAATGCTGTTCCTTTGGATGGATATTTATCTGGCAGAGTTACAATGTGCAATCAAAGAACTGAGTTAAATCAAAGACCTGGGATTCTTCCCAAAGAAAAATCAATGGGAAAAATTCACCCTGGTATCTTTTAAGCAGTCTGGATACAAAGCAAATTGTTTGGAGCTGGATACTGCCTGCCAAAACCTGCAGCTTTACTCATCTGAAATATTCCTGTATAGGAAACGGCAATTCAGGACTGTTCTCCGCTTTGTCTGGTTTAGATCTCAAACTCCTGAGGGCAGGGGCTGCCTTGCAATGCCTGACACTGGGGCCTTAAAGCTGCTCCAGCACATCCAGTGCAGGGATAATGAAGTGAGCTCCTTGCAGTAATTTGCTCTTGTTCTGTAGGCCTGGGCAATAGGCAGTCATTTTGTTTAAGATCTCAGGGATTTGGCTCCCAGAATACCTGATGATGGAGTTTTATAGCCAATTTTACTGCTGGTGAGTTGCTGGTAGCAGAGAACTAACCTGAATGTGGAAAACACGGTTTGCATCACCTGGCAAATTTATGCTTGAACTTCTCATCCAATCCAGGGATAGAAACAGGATGATTTGTAGGATTTCCCTGGCCAATCACAAGCATTTTATTGGAAAGGTTCAAAATTCCATCTAAAACCAGAGTGAAAGTTTTTTTTAAATGGCAGGGGGTTATTTTCAGAGTTGATGTGGATTTGCCCAGAACTAGTAATGCAAAGGCAAAAAACAGCTGGAAGTGTAACTGGGAAGAGAATAGAGAAAGCTTCTCAAGGGAATTTTTTTTCTTGAAAACAGGAGAGGAATGAGATATTGTTGCTTCAAATATCTAATGAATAAAGGACGAAAGCATGAACCTGGGAGCTGGCAAGACAGCCAGGTCAAGTATCTGCTGGCATTAATATGATCCAAACCACTGGGCCTATTACAAAAAGGATTGTGCCACTGGTTATCCTGGGACCTGTGAGGCTGTGATGTGAGAATTCTCATGCATCAAAACATGACTGACCTGATTTTCTCTGCTGGACACCCATGTCTTTGCTCTCAATGCCAATTTGTTCTTAACGGGGTTCCACTGGAGCTTTTCTCTGTGATAAGGGTATTTTAAATGTCTTAGGTAAGGTTGTTGATGCAGAAAAAGGAAATTTGAGATGTGTAGTTCTTTCATATCACCTTATATTTGTCACAGAAGATGCCATAGTAGGTTGGTACCAGGAATTTGATCAAACTTGAACTCTTAGAAAAATCTGTAACTTCAGTAGGATTCCTTATGGAGGATCTGGAGGATCTCTGATTATAATACTCAGGCTACTTCAGATCAGCCCTTGGTTGTAATTCAGATATGCAGAGAAGTTGCAAGGAAAATGGAAGTGCCACTTCGTTGAAAGGCCTTTTCCCTTTCTGCCTCAGGATTACTAAACATGCAACATCTTGCCCTGGGCTTACAAAGTATTAAGTTACACAAATGTTTGCACTGGAGGTGTTGGAGATAGTGGTGGCTTTTTTTTTTGGCTGTCATAACAAAGTGCATGTTCACAGCCACATCCTCTCCATAAAGGGCAATAGCACTTGGAAAACTGTTATGTTTCTAGTTGTGCCAGAGACTGTTTTCTGCTGCTGTGTCATAATGTATCTTAACGGTGTCATTCCATCAGAAACAGCTTTATATTGCTGGTCTCTAAAACTCCAAGAAAACCCACTGCAGCCAGCACTAAGGGGTACTGAATTCCATCAGGACTTCAATCCAGGGCATTACTGGGAAGCATGAGCATGATGTATGGTTTGTTCCTTGTATCAGCCATATTGAAAAAATAGCATCCATTATTACCATCAGCTTTCCTCTGCTCTTCTCATGTGCCCCCTACACTGCTGTCTGCATTTATAGCCCCAAAATGCAGCCAAGGGCCAAAATTGTTCCAGAAGTACAATGTGTTCGTGCATTGCTTTGGATGAGAGATGGTAGAGTGGTGCCACTATTTTCCCAAGTATTGAGAGCTTTCCAGCAAGCCCTGTCTGGCCGCTGTGGCGAGGTCAAAGCATTGGCAGAGACAACCTCGAAGATGTCTTGCACCATTTCTCAATGTCTGTGGTTGCTTGCTTGTCTTCAAAGTGTCAGCGCTTCCTGCAGAATGGAAACAACAAGGTTTTGTCTAGGAAACATCCAAATGCCTTTTCATTTTGGCCTCTGTGAAACTTTTTGAAGTCTTCCAGACAAAAACCAGAAAATTCCCCTGGCTCGAATATGTGTATTTGTTGGTACTTTACAACTGCTGAGGGCTAAAAAGTACGAGAAAGTCCTGGGATCTGTTCTAGGAGGGTGCAATTGTAGAGGAAGATGCAGCATTGAGCCCTCCACTAGTGCTCTCCAAGAGAAGCTTGATGGCAAATTTGTCTTCCCAGCCACAAATGAGAAAATGCACTGCTTCATATTTCCTGTACTTTATAGTAAGTTTACTGTAGTTGGTCAGGTTAATTCATCTTGGCCCTGGCTTTTTAGAATGCTCCCTGGTATATATTCTTCTCAAAGGAAAAGCCACCTGTTTTTCCAATCTGCTGCTATATCTACATTTAACAGAGGGGAATACTGAATCAAGTCCTGCTCCTGCTCTGAACTGCTCCCTGTATTGCCATGACAGTTTTTCCACGTGCCAGTCAGTCTTTTATAGGTGCAGAAACTACAAGAAAGTCCCTGGAGAGGCAATTTGATGAGAGCTCTTGTACCATTAGGGCTGCATTATAGGGCATGTCTACACTGCTTTTGTCAGCAGTCAGTAATCTCCATGGAAGGTTGAGCAAGGGGAAATCTCAGGCCAGCTGGGCTGAAGGGGCTTTTTGTACCTGCGAGGCTAAATCGGAGGGAAGCACTGGATGAACTGGAACTGAGGTTGTGCCTTAAAGACTTTCTCACATAATAAAAGCTTTCAGGTCTGCTTGGAGGGCAGGACACTGCACCACCAGATTTGCTCCAAGTAAATTCTGGCTTGGTCCTTTTGAAAGGCAGCAATAGCGAGTTACTTTGGGTGTCTCTTGGAGCATCTTTAGGACACATGGGGCTCTTTATCTCCATGCAAGCAGCTTTTTTGAAGTTTCCTGCTTGACAACTGCATGTGACAAGGCAATTACATTGTTCTGTGGCACTAGTGGGTTCTTAGGCCTTTTTATGAGCCACAAGAATGAAAAGTTCTGTGCCACACAGGTTGCTGGAGTCCAGTTGGTTGTGTCAGCAACCTATCTCAAATAACAGCAAGAACAGATGACATTCCAGTGGAAACTTCTTTACAAGGAAATACTTCAGATTCCAGATGTTTGGGATTTTTCTGCATATTTGTAGAGTTAAAGTGTTCCTTCAGGACTTGGTCAGCATAATTATCAGTACTGGATTCTTGCTTTTAAATGTATTTGAATAGTGAATGCTGTATCATTTGTGTGATAATTGACTGTTCTCTACACTAGAGCCCAGAAGTCCTTGCTAGTGACAGGAGAAACTGAACTTGCCACAAGTCAGTCTCCCAGTACACCAGTAGCAGTTTAAGTGATTTGTGTACTCTATTAACCAAGTGACAGAGCCAGTATTTCTCTTCCCCCACCCTCCATTTCAACCATAGCTTACAGCAGTGAAAAACTTCACTGTTTTGTCCCTGAGCTGGCTGGGAAAAAGGGTTTGTGTGTCTGCTTGCTTAATTGGGAAAAGGGATTTTATGTGGCTCCCTGCACTTGCTGCCCTTATTACACGAGTTATTCCTCTATAGATTTGAAAGCATCCTCTGAGCAGTGAGTCATAAGGCACAGCAGACTTCCCCGGAGAGTCAGATGCAGACAGCCTTATCCAGAGCATCAGCTGTGCCTTTCTTCTCTTTCCACAGACAAAGCAAAGGCCCAAGGGGGCATCCTGCTTCTCTGCAAGGAAGGAGCTTTGCCTTCTAAGATCAACTACTTAAAGACATATCTGTTTTTCAATCCATTTGGATGAGAAGATCACATTTCTTTCTGTAGACCCTGCCCATTTCTGCCTTAAAAACATCACTGTTACTCCATTGCATGACCTAAAACTTCACTGTCCATTTCAGGAGATACTTCTCAGTCTCCTTTGCCTGTCTAAAGTACTGACACCCTCCTCCATGTGGTTACTTTGGCAGGTGCTGTGACTCTGGCCCAGTGGTCTTTCAAGTAGTGCACAGTGCAGTCTGAGGGGCTGGAGAAGTTTGAGCAGCATCAGAACTCAGATATCCTTTCAGTTCTTTTAGCACATTTGCCAGACATGGTTTCTCCCTGCACACAGGTCTGGAGCATCAGCATAAACATGTCAATAAATCTCATTCCTTGCACAGCATTTCAAAAGTGTCCTTAATGCCATGGGAAATTGGCCCTCTGTGTGTGTCCAGAAGGAGATGGTTCAGGCTTGATCACACATTCAGCCCCTGGATTCACCCATTTGCACTGGCTTTGCACACACCGATGGGCTTGTTAAGCTGCCCAGTCCCCACTCCCCCAGTGCCCTTCTCTTGGGTTGGATGGACATGAAGATCAGGAGAGACTGGTGCCTTTGAGGGGAAGAGCTGGAGTACAAAATGAGCAGCTCACAACCCCAGCTGGCAGTACTGCATTCAGGAACACTTCCCTCTCCACAGGGGCTGGTCTGCTCTCTTTATCCACCCTCTGACATGATCCTATATCCAGGCACTTAAGAAGAAGAAAAAAGCAGCAAAACTGAAAGCTGCTATTTTTAAACTCTGCCCTTGGCTCTTTACAGCACTCTGCTTTCCTCCCTGTGATTCAGTGTTCTTTTGAAAACTAGGCACCAGGGCCCTGTGGTTTCCTGGTACTTGGAACATAAAATCTCCTAATTCTTCTCTCACAGCAAGCTTCAGAGGCCTGGGAGTGATTGATATTTTCTATCGCTTCATTAATAGTCACGGCACAGTAGTTTCCTAATCTGTTTTTGCACTGCTTTTTATTTTGAATAATTTGTCTTTCGAATTTCCTCAGCCCTCCATGTCACACAAAGCAATTGCTGTTTGCTCCCCTCCTGCCTTTTAACTGCTGGGTTGAGACCTTCAGGAGCTGGTGAGGCAGAGCTGTCAGAGAGCTGGGAAGCTGGGGGTCCTGCCTCAAGGAGCTTTCTCATGTTTGTTTTAACAAGCTTGGCAAATATCCTGAGTGTATGTCTCAGTGATCAAAATGCTGGAGACTTCTTGGGAAGGGAGGACTTCACTGTAATTCCTAAGAGCTTCTGCTCACTTCCATCGCTGTACACATTGAAAAAGCTTGTGCCAAAATTCATTTTTCCAGCTTCATGGCCACCCTTGGTTCTCCTCCAAATCAGACCTGCTCTGGAGTCCTCTGTGACAAGGACAACCCACCCCTCCCACAGAGGGCAACAGGATTAATCGACTTGGCAACCAACATTGACACTCTGTAGTGCTGAACTGTTTCTCCATGCTCCTTACACACCTCCACCTTATGGAATCTGATCCAGGCAATTACAAATTTTAAACCTGGATATTGGACCTATTTCTGTGGGAAATGAGATGCTCAGGGCACAGGAACTAAGCAAATCCCTGGCAGAGAGATAGAGCCAGAGAAAACCTGGGGTATTTCCTGCTGGCCATGCCCTTCCCCACCACATCTTCAGGGCTAAAGCTATACTAGATAAAGGCAGAGAATGCAGTGGGACCCATTTGCCAAGAGGCTTGGGATCAGCACAGGAGATGGGGGAACCAGGATCAAGGGCCAGCTGTGGTGAGCCAAGCCCTCCCTACCACACTGTTCAACCTCCATCTCCTCACTGCCTTCTGAATACCTGGAACCTTTACCTGTAAATGGGCTGGCTTTCCCGGGGTGAACAACTCACTGTGCAGCTGGGACTCTCTGGCATGTCTGCAATAATCCTGAACTCTCTGTAAATTGCTTTTTCATTCAACCCAACTTGGAAAGAGGCAGACAGGCTGTAGTCTAAACACCCCAAGAGTCTGTATTTGCTTTGTTCCTTACATGTTCCAGCACACTCGGGTCCCCTGTGATTTAAAACAATGTGTCTTTGTTCTTATCTTCTGGACTTGGCAAGGCAGTTTTTACCTCTGAGTTTTTGTCTCAACAGGAGAAATTGCTGTCTAACAGATCCTTTGTGGACTTCCGACCAAAACCATCCAGAGCAACATATGGTAAGTCGTTCAATGTTTTATAAACTCAGACCCTCAACTATAGCTATTTATGGGTGGAAACTGGCATATCAATAACTTCTTTTTGGTTACAGGGGTAATGAATTCTGGCTTATGTTATTATGACATCTCAGTTTAGGTTTCTCCAGCCCTTCCTTAGATTATAATGCATTTGACTTTACATTTGTTGCTTCTGGTGCCTGCCACAGCTTAGCACTGTGGTGTGTGTGTGTCAGCAAAGGAAGAATCTCAGCCATGCTCCCCTTGCTCCAAGAAACACAGGCCCTTATTCCTTATGTTGAAGGGGAAGGTTTGTGCCCTGATGTGACACGTGGCTTTGGATGATCCTGGTACCGCACTGATCTATCCATTCTTAGTCATGTCATCCTCTGAAGCAAAAAAGGTGTGGCACAGTCAATAAATGAGTATGATTTGTGGGGTGGCTTGAAGTTCTCTTGATTAGCCATCAGCACTTGAGTGATGCTCTGCAGCTTTCAGCCTGTGATGCTGCTCTGTGCTCAGTAACTGTACCACCATTTAGGGCACTTGTGTACCCTAATTCCAGCACAGATTTAGGAGGTAAAAGCTTTTCATAGTTGTTTGGATCATATGAATTTCCTCTGTGTATCTTCTTCTGGTATCTCAAAAATGGTTGTTATCCATTGCAGGGGTCACCTGGAAACTAGGTTGACTCTGTGCAAGATGAAATGGTACCTGTGATGGGGACACTGACTCACCTTCCCTGAGGAGGTGCTTCCAGGCCTCTTTAGGGAGAGAACTTCTGTGTTTGCACTCCCGTTGACAAAGGAGGTCCCCAGCACCTCCTGCTAGCACTGAAAGCACCGCGCATGTTATGAAAATGGTTTTTATTACTCTCAGACACAAGCTCTTGGGTTTCCTTTGTGGTTAATGTGGCCCATCTGTAGTTTAAAAAAACAATGTTCAACTTTCTTGCTTTTGGTATTTTGTGTAGTGCTGTGCTCGGGTCATCACTGTTAAATGCGTTGCCCTCGTTTGGCACCTGATTTTTCCAAAGTCTGGAGCTCTGGAGTTTTTTAGTTATTCTGGGATGTGCCTACATTGTCATGGATCTTGATTTAGGGTGCGGGGAAAAGGAGTGACTATAAGAAGTTCAAGGGGGATGAGTTAGAGGGAGCAGAACAGTCTGAAACAGCAGCAGTGTGGCTTGGAGCTCTCCTGACTTACAGGGCCACCTGCTCCAAGGAGTCACAAGGAGCTCTGGACCAGGTGAAGTGAGGAGGGCTCCCTTCCAGGGAGCATCCAAATGTCAGCCCAACAGCCATCTCTCCAAATTCTTCCTTGCCATGGCCAAGAACGTATCTAGAGGGAGATGTTCAAAGGTAGCTGTTCTGCCTGATAGTTTTCCATGTTCTAACACAGCCTTTTGCAGGAATATCTCTGAGAAATGGATTTCTTTCCACCCCAAGCTTTCTTATACAGTGAGGAACTGAAGGGAACTAATATAGTTCCTTACACCACCATTACACCTTGCAGTGGGCTGGAGAACTCAGAGCAAGCCCAGCAGCCCAGAGAAGGAGAGCAAGGACAAAAGCAAGAAAGAGGGACCCTTGCTCCTAGTCCAGCTTTCCAACTTTGTTTCCAGCATAGCATTCTGGGTGCTTTTTTCTGCAAAAGTCACATGTTTTAAAATGTGCAGCATAAACCCAAGAATTATCAATTTCAATAAGTCTACCAGTAAAAAAAAATTCTGCCCCCTCTGCATTTAGCCTTATATATTCACACAGTAACATCAAACATGAGCTGTCTCTTAAAAGCAGAGTGTGGAATTATCAGAGACAAAACAAGACTCGGACATTGGCAAGGAAGCACTCTCCACTCTCCATGCCTGACTGAGCTAACGTTTCCTAATTGCAACCAGAGAACTGTGCAAGAGTTTAAAAACTTTACCTTTTTTCCAAATCATGGGGATGTGCCCCTGTGAAAGCTATTTCCCTCATTGTTGGTTCTTCAGAATAATTACCAACTGGCAGCATTGAACATTTCTCTTCACTTCCTTCTTTTACTTTTCTTTCTTTCTTTTTGATGTGTGTCACATTTCAGCTCTGTAGCCATCCTGCCCTTGGGTTAACCACACAGAGGTCAGAACTCTGAAGTGCTCAGAGCTGGGCTGTGGAAAGGGGATTACCCATGTTGTTGTTAACCCATGACCTTCGTGTTTTCTGTTGGATTCAGTGTTTTGCACTTAGGACAAACCCCTCCCCTCTGACTTTCCCATTCCCCCATTCCTGCATTTCTGAGTTCTGCCTAGTAGCAGAATTAGAATGAGCAAAATACCACAGGAAAGATGATGCTGGAAGAGGTATTTATTAACTGTATTACCAGATGCAGAATGGTAGGAAGCATATCCAGCCCAGACATATCTAACCAAATCTAACTGAAGGTCATGAATCTGCAGAAGTCCAGCAGAGCTCTTCTGGCTACATGCCCAACAGGCATGCTCTTGCTTGACCATATCCTATCTCAAATGTTGGTGTTGTCTTACTGAACTCAGCATTTTTTTTTCTATTTGCCTTTATTAAAATTCAACGAGGTGCTGAGAAGCCAAGAGCTTATGTTTTCAAAGAGGGTGGGGAGTTTTAAAAGTTTTAATTTGGGAAAGTGAAAAGGATGGGCAGCTTCTCTACCTTTTGATTTCAAAAGGTAGCAAAACCAACATGACAAGTTAAAGAATGTGTCACATCCCACTGCTGTGTGTGAATGCTTATCCTTAATGATGTGCTTTTAAGGATCTTGGATAAGAACCAAAAGGAGAGCTTTGAAAACTCACTCATACAGAATAATTGTATTTAACCTACGCTGTCAGTTCACACCGTATCATCTTAAAGAATAATAAATAAGCAGTCAACATTCTTACAGTAACCTCTCACTACTCAGTACCAGGAGGTGAGGGGACATGTGCCTTCCCAGACATCAGGTGCGCCGTGGTGGTGCTGGGAGTGCTTAGTTTTGGTTTAAAACTTGACAGTAGCAGTGGGGGGATGAAGTTAAAATGCAATCATTCTGAGTCAAACGGTAAGGCCTAGGAAAACAGATGTGGGATGTGTGCCATGAGCCAAGATCAACTTCACAAAACTCAAAAGATTACTTCTACAAAAACTGGAGGGGGGAGAATTATCCAGTGAATGTTGTGATGGATGGGAGCAAGGAAATAGCTCAGGAAAGTCAAACAACAGGATCTGCAGCACAAATATGTTAACTTTCTGGTGCTGTTATTTTGTCATAGGTAGGAAATTCTTTCTATAATGTCTGAAGGGTATTAATTACTGTTTTCCTCTGACTTAAAATAGGGGGACAGAGACTTTTATTTCTCTTAACTGCTTCTGCACTATCTTCAGAGCAAACCTGCCCTGCTTTTTAAAATCCTGAGCGCATAGGGCTAATCTTTGTCTGCCCTTTCCCTGGGAGTTTTTGTTGTTGTAGCAACTTCTTTATTTTTCTGTCAGGAAAACACAAATAAAAGGTTTAACTTTGGTCAATATTGGCTTTGGGCCAATCCCAGACATTGCAAACCAATTCAGCACTAGACTGTATTTACCAGTTTTGCTTCTGGCCTACCTTCTGCATCCAGGCTGCGTTTCTTACGGTGCTGTTCTGCATGATCTGTGTTACCATATTGGGCCACCTTATCAAAAATCAGGGCTAGTGAAGGAGCTAAGAGCTTTTTCCCCAGAGTGACTAGTGATTTTGAGGCATTTAAGCACACAGGCCAAATACTCACCATCTCCTTAAAATGGACCAGCTCAGTGCACCCATTTTGAGCCCCCTGATGACTGGTTTCATCTTGGTCAGCTGTGCCCTGCTAGAGAGGGACACCTGTTTCTATCCCCCGTGTCTCATCTGGTTCTTTCTGTACACCTATGGGGCACATGGAGGTCTGGTTGAAAATACATGTGTCAGTTGTTTCCCGCATGTTGCATTGTATTTTGAAGACTTACCTCGTTGGCTGTGGATCAGCAGTGTCCCCATGCCACAGGTCTCTTCTTCTCAGCACAGAAAAGGTTGCCAGCTCCATCTCCTGCTCTGGCTTCTCTTTAAGTTCCCTCCTGTGCTCTGCAGAAGTGCATTAGCTTCAAGCCCTAGTTAGCCAGGTTGCCCATATCCCAGCAAGAACTTGTTCTTCTGACACTTTCCAGTTAGCATCAGTGTGTCTCTGGCTGTTACCAGAACCACCTCCCTCACTAGACATCTTCCTTGGATTAGCAGGTCTGTTGTTCTGAAAATTCCATGCCACAACACAGCCCTGTTCCAGAAGACTCTTTCAACTGTTGCTGAACGGTATCCAGAAACATCACACAGTCCCTCACAGATGAAAATGCAAGTTCCCTGTAAAACTGAGCCAAGGCATCTTCAGCTTCTGCATTAGAAGCCCTTCTGTGTTTTGCATCCAGCCCATTGGTTGTCATCGTTGACACTGAACAAAAGCCTCTGCTGCTGTTCGTGGGGAGAAGCCCCCAGTCTAAGCACCACATTTTCCTGGAATCTATGTAGGACTTGAAGATATTAATCTGTTTACTTCCCTAACACATCCACTGAAAGCTTGGAGCAGTTTTTCAAGGTTTCCCACAAGCTAAACCAAGCCAAAGGTTCCTGGCTGACAATCATCAATAATATTGAGCTGCTACTTAAACTCTGCTGTCCTTAGATGAATTGACAGCTCTTCCCTTCCAGGGAGAAGATAACATCTTTGCTCTAAAAAGATGAGGTGCCCGTTGTCTGGTCTCCTCTGCCTCTTCTGAAACCTTTCAGAGAAGCAATGTGTTGATGTATTATCCTGAGTCATTAACAGAGCACGTGCTTTGGAGCTGCCTTTTTTTTTTTTCTTTTATCAACTGTATATTCTTCCTTCCAATCATCTGGATCTGGCATCCTCCCCTTTGGGCACTGGTATCTTTCTGAGAAGGGCTCAGCTGCCACAGGCTGGTTACCTTTGTTTAGGGACTCCCAAGGACCACTGAGGTCTG